GCGGTACATGTATTCCGTTACTCCCCAACACTGTTGATGACAGATAAATCATCTCTGATAATTGCTTCCTTTGGGACGTTGACGCTCATCTGCCCCTTTACATATTCACGTGTGAACGGAGAGTATGTGCTGTACAAACAGTCGGTAAGGAACACGGAGCGAGTGGGAATTTCAAAGCGTGTTCTCACCCTCTGGTTTACAAAAACACGCATTCTTTCCATAGATCCTTATGAAAACAAAGCCTGTGCTGCCTTTGAACAGCAGGTAAACTTATAACTGATGTGAAGCGCAAATTCCTGAACCATTCACCCATGTCAGGCCTCTGTTTGATCTCTGACAATATGTTTGATCCACACACAATTGAATAGCAACAGCTGCTAAATATGGTTCCCTCAGATCGATTTTCCCATGTGATTTATTAAGAGTAATCACCTCTCTGCTTTCCTGAAGCAAACACAGGACGCCACAAAGTGAAACGTAAGAGACATAAGACAACGCACACAACGTCATGTGCATTTTCTTTATTGTTTGATTAAAAGAACTGACAGCTTTATAAATGTATTTACTTTTACACACAATATGCTTTTGTACAGAAATCTTGCAATATCCTTCAAAAAAGAACTTCATTTAACAAAGTCAAAAAAACCCAATGATAGTGAAAAAGTTCATTTTATAACCTGTAGTATTAGAGCTCTGTAATATAGTAAATAGAGTCTTATGCAACAGCAAAAATATGACTCGTACATACAAAGTACAAGTCTCTTCTTCCTCTTTCTGTCTTCTTAGTCGGTGCTGGCCTGGCCTGTCTGCACAGTCACACAGCTCTGACACACCAAAAGGCAAAAGTCACAAATGACCTGATAACTCATATCAGCTGCGATCCTCTTCTTCTGCAGAACTGGCGTCACATTTTCCGCCCTCTAATTGCAGGTACGAACAGACCATCTTTGTGGCGCTTTGGCTTTTCTCCATGGCCTTCCTGTGTGGGACTCATCTCTCAGCCCTTTGTTTCCCCTCCTCTGTATCAAAGGAGGGTAATTTGTTCAGGTGCTCACTGCTCTCTCTCTCTCTCATTTTCCCCCTGCTCCAGTAGCTCCACTGTTTAGCCAGCGCGCTTCATCTGAGCCCACGGAGACTTGCCTCTGTCTGAATCATGTGCACCCTGTGCCCTCTTCACTCTGCTGCACACAAAAAAGACAAACATCAGCCACCAACTTCAAATATCATCATAATCATCATAATATAACTTATATATAGGTTTTAAAGGCATTTTAAAAACTTTCACAGCTCACCTGAGAATGCTGAGTGAGTGCCGTTTTTGTCTTTGTAGAGATTTGATTTCAGGGCTGCAGAGAAAGAACCAATAAAACACCAATAGTCATGCTTAAGCTGAAGCTGGTCACTTTAAAAACTTTTATTGATCATGATCCAGCGCTGCTTATTTTTTAGCGCTCTGTGTTAACCTAAAAGACTCTTATCTTTACAGGCTCACTAAATGTTTTATGTTCCAGGCCCACAATCAGCAGTTATCGTTTCTGTCGAGGTTTGAAGAATGCTGCCATTCAACCATGCCTCTTCTTGTTCTCTCTGTTCAGCGCTTCACTGATATCCAGATCCAGATACATAAATCACAGGACAGGGACCAGGCCGGCATTATTATACGATCTGTGTAATCTGCACATCTAAGCCAATCAAAAACAACCTGCTTGAACTTTGTGCGCTTACTCCACTCCCTCAGCTCCAGCTGCATTGTTTTGACAGTCACACCCTTGGACAAGTGGGACTCAGTGAAAACACATTTAGGCTAATAATAGCACGAGCTGTTTCCTTATACCTACTTCTCCCTGTCATCCTCAAAGGCTAATATTACGTGTCTTTACCTACAGTGAGCTAAACATATATTCTCAGCTCATCTTTGCCTTTAATCTAGTGCTTTACATTGAGGCTTTGAGGCTGTATGAGGTGCTCACCTGAGATAGCAGAATTTGGCGCAGGGTTGGTCATCGCGGTTGGCACATGTGCAGCGGCCAGTGGATCGTCTGCGTCGAGAGAAGGCACCACCTAGACCATAAACTGTCGTCTTGCTGTAGAGAGAAATACAAAGTCGGTGCCTTGCTCGTGATATAACCAGCCTGCAGACTTTGCTCTTTGATATCTCACTGCTGCCAACTACAGCAAAGTTGTTCTGCAGCGTCTGGGCTGCAAGGCTGTGAGATGTGTCACTACTATACACGAAAATATGCTCAGAGCCTTGAGGCATTTTTCACGGCGCTTCCTTTTAAGCTCACCTGGGTGTGTTGATCCATATGATGTCCAGGTGGCAGAAATAGTGACACTCTGAGTCCAGCGGGTTCGAGCAGGCACAGCGTTTGGTCCTCAATCGATGTGTTGGGACTCTTTCTTGAACCTCCACCTCCACCTGGTTCATCACTGGAAGACCTAAACCTAGTCAGAGATGGGAAGGGTTAACCAAACACAACATCAGCTCCAGCTAAGTAACAATACCTGTAAGTAGTCTGGCTCACTTTCGTTATTTTCCACATATTTAAAAAGATATATATATATAGAGAGAGAAACAGCGATCTAGATTCAAGAGTTCCAGTTTTCAGCTCTAAAATTGATTCTGATCATTTATAATGACCAAGCAAATGAATCTATGAATTCTTTGGCATAATAAAGACTCACAAACACTCCAGTTTCTCTTTGTGATTTTAGGTTTAAAAACAGCAGCAGCATATTTTACATGTCACTGCGCACAGTGTGGCTGTGATTGATGCCAGTGTAAATATTTGATTGTAGGCTGCTGTCTTACAAAAAACTGTGCCATGAACACCCCATTGAAAAAGAATATATGGCACTTACCATCTTGCACTGAAGCCCAAAGAGTGACGAGAAGCAGAATGCTGCTCTGAGCAGACATAGTGGACGGATGGAGTTCTGCAGAGACTGTTGTCCATGCAGCTGCAGCTGTGTTCTTCATGTGCTGCCACTGTCTGGTCTGAAGCTGTCTGAACTGTGCCACTCTTTTTTATACATCTCCTTGCCCCTCTCACTTGATGACACATTGAAAGCTCCACCCACATCTGCCTGTCACGGAGTTTCAGTGTAGGACCCCAGGATGTGTGAGCTTGTGGCACATTTTCCAAGTATCTGCTGCTCTGGAAGTCATCTGTAACAGAGGTAAATGTCATTTAGAGATTACATTTGAATGACATTTATGATACCGGTCTGATTTTGAATGAGGGATTGCCTGGCTTTGTGCTGGTGGATAAGGTGAGAGGTGGAAGAAGGGGATGGAGGAAGACGTGAGGTCTGAAGAGTTGTTTATCTAATAAAGCGGAAACACGGGGAGGAAGAACAAGACAATGGATCACTATGACCACTGTGGGAGGGGAGATGCTGCGATATGCTGGTATGCAATGGAGACATTTTAAAGTAAACTAACTTTGTCTTCTCAGTAACAGTTTCTGTATCGTATCAAATGATCAATAGAATAAAGGTTAATTGATTTCCAGAATCCCAGCACAATGCTTTCTGTTTCCAAAGATTAACATGCAGATATATCAGAGACGCTGTGACCCTTTTTCTTGAGTAATCAAGGCTGTAACCCTAACCCAAAGAAGTATAACATGAAACCGTGGGTGTGCTTTGAAAACGTTCCCATGTGACACCAGGTCAAAATCACGCCCCTCCATCCTCAATCCGTGGTGAAGTTGAGCACACAGATAGTGTGGCTCATCCCTGCCCACATGCACTTGGTCTCTCGGTCAAGTCAAGCCAAGGCAGGTCAGCCGTGCCAGAGTCACGCAGATAGCCAAATGGCCACCTTCAAACATGTAAATACATTAAATACATGTTGGATTATCACTACTGCGCTTCATTGCTGTCATTTCCCAAATGCTCATCAGCTATCTGATAGGAAAATGAAGTAATGAATAGCAAAATTTTAAGTACGTCAAGCTGTTATGATGAAACAATACATTTTAGCCATTGTTTTTTTCCCCCATTCTAATGACAGAGTAAGCACACGAAGCTGCCAGTGACAGATGGACATGAGAGGATGACAGAATCGACTGTTTGTTTGCTATAAGAGCCGATGAAAGCTTACGCATGAACGTGCAGAACAAGCAGGAAGCAGACAGCACTTTTCCTCTTTAGGGCAGGCATGCCCGGAAAACACTCGGAAATGAAAAGTATGCTGGAAAAAACACAA